TGTCTCAGTGCATTCATAGAGACGTAGCAGCGAGAAATGTCCTCCTGACTGACCGTTGTGTCGCCAAAATCTGTGACTTTGGTTTGGCTCGAGACATTCGTGATGATGACAGTTACATCGTTCAAGGAAACGTCAGTACAATGACTTGTCTTTTACTCTGACACTTCCTGTCTTTTACTCTGACACTTCCTGTCTTTTACAATGACACTTCCTGTATTTCACTCTGACACTTCCTGTCTTTTACTCTGACACTTACTGTCTTGTATTATGACACTTACCGTCTTTTACTTTGACACTTCCTGTCTTTTACACTGACACTTCCTGTATTTCACGCTGACACTTCCTGTCTTAAACACTGACACTTCCTGTCTTGTATTATGACACTTCCTGTCTTTTACTTTGACACTCCCTGTCTTTTATTATGACACCTCCTGTCTTTTATTATGACACTTCCTGTCTTTTACTCTGACACTTCCTGTGTGGCTGTGTGAAGGCTCGACTTCCTGTCAAATGGATGGCTCCAGAGAGTATCTTCGAATGTGTCTACACGCTGCAGAGTGATGTTTGGTCCTACGGAGTTTTGCTCTGGGAAATCTTCTCTCTAGGTTTGGACCATCAGTTATGATGAGTGATTATTGATAAAGAACAGGCCCTATCGATAATTAGCTGTCATTGATCATTGATTGGTTTGTGATTTCCAGGTAAGAGTCCATATCCAAATGTCCCTGTTGATTCCAAATTCTACAAGATGATCAAAGATGGACAACATATGACTGCTCCTGACTTTGCTTCTGCAGAGATGTGAGACCTCTGTCCTGTCCTTCACTTGTCCGTCCTCTTCATCAGCTGTTGTTGACGACCATGTTTACTCTCAGGTACCAGCTGATGAAACAGTGCTGGAGTCTAGAACCCAGGTATAGACCCACCTTCAAAACTATTGGTCAGATCATTCGCAGACTCCTTCCCTCAACCAGTGACATGACAGCACATCAAAGCCACAAGGTGAGAACCATCAGGAAGCAATTACAGTAAGTGACGACTTGTTCACTCGCTCAGTTGTGACTTGACCCAAGTCTTGGTCTCGTTAGGTCACGTACACCAATGTGGACGTGTGTCGAGAGGAAGATGAGGAGGCAGGAGACGAATCTAGAGGAGGAGCAGGTGATGATGAGACTGTGACATCTGAGGTTGATGATGTCGAGGTTGAAGACTTAATCACTTCCTCTCTGGTCCTCAGAGCTCTGTGATGATGAAAATGAAGAACAGGAGCCGATGATGAAGAACTTCTATCAGCACTTCCAATCTTCTCTACCAACCCCTGACCAGGACCAAGACCAGGACCAGAACTAAGACCAGAACAAAGACCAGGACCAGCACAGTCTCCAAAACCTTTAAAAAAACACCTAGACTTACACAATTAGGTCTATGATCTGTATGAAGACCATGACCAGAGTCAGTATCCAGACCACAGAGGAACTAAAGGACCATGAACAGGTCTGGAGTCAATAACAAGTCCAGGACCAATCACAGGACCAGGATGAAAAACAGGGTCCAGGACCAGGCCTTATGTCCAAATCTAATACAGATAGGATATTTTGTTGAGGTTATTGAGAGAAATCTGATAAATAAATGCAACAGTTTCTAAACAACACCTTTAGTCTGTTTTTACAGACGTACACACGCACCTGTTGAGCAAAGTCAAATGATAGATTTATGGTGTTTGGACTTTAGATTGTGATAAACAGATGTGTGTGTGCACTCTCTTCCTCATACTGCCTCAAACCAAACAACCACTTCAAAAAAGTTCATAGAAACTTCTGCTGTGTCCCTGTGAGCTAAAATCATCATTTTTTCCATGAGGTTTGGTCTAAAGTTTTCTGAGATTTTCTGTGTAACGGTCTTCAGGTTACTTTCTACTTCCTGTCATTATTGACTGACCCAGATCAATGAAGGTCTTCAGGTCTACATTTCGAGTCTATGGGTCTAAGGTAGCCAGTCCAGCAGGAGGCGCTCAGTTTAGTCTGCTGTTCAGGGTCATTATTGGTGATTTGGTTTATGAATGATTTGTTCCACCAGCAGCACAAATACAGTTTATCAGTCCTGTATTGATAAGAGCTAATCAATCATCATAAATCTGATCAATGACTGAAGTGGTCGTAAATCTGAACTTTATCTCTGGGACACAACAACCTGCTCAGGGAAACTGGACCTCATTTCTGGATCTGCTTCTCTGTCGGCCAGTCAGTCGGTTGATCGGTCGGTATATTAATTGATTGAGTGATTGATTGATTGATTGATTGATTGACTGATTGGTTCAAGTGGAAGTCAGAATGAAAAGTACTCGCCTCTCATCCCTGGAGTTCCTCCTCATCATCGTTTCCTCTCTTCTTCTCATCTGCTGCGTTGGACTCGTCCTGCTGTCATGGATCAGCCTCACACCTGCCGGTAGAACAAAGGTTCCACCACAAAGTTCCACCACTGCTTTTCTGTGAAGATTTTTATCAGTTGTCCTCTGTGCTGTTGGTACCAGGTACTGATGGTCTTGTGAGTCTGAACGGTCAGATGACTATTACAGCTGGAGCAGAATTCTCTGAAGAACTGAGGAACTCCAGCAGTGAACCATTCAAGGTCCTGGCCTACGATGTCCAAGAGCTGGTGAGTACTGACTAAAGTACCAGAGCACTAACTAAAGTACCAGAGCACTGACTAAAGTACCAGAGCACTGACTAAAGTACCACAGCACTGACTAAAGTACCACAGCACTGACTAAAGTACCACAGCACTAACTAAAGTACCAGAGCACTGACTTAAGTACCACAGCTCGGACTAAAGTACTAGAGCACTGACTAAAGTACGAGAGCACTGACTAAAGTACTGAGAAGATCTTAAATACTTTAACTTACTATATACTCGTACTTCGAAGTACAAAGATATATAGTAAGAACTCGTGTGAAGCCTGGGCCTGTTAAGTTGAACAACACAAAACTGATGTTCTTGCAGGAATTGAAGAAATACAAAAAGACTTTCAACGGCCAAGTCTCTATTTCTCTAGCTTTTATAACCCTCTGCTGCCACCTAGTGTTTTTAATTGTTCTGCCTGGCACTTGCATAGAAGGAACAAAGACAATTTATTGACAATAAATGAATGTGAATTTTTTTAACATCAATAAAGTGACATTTACTGCAGAGCATGACTGAAGTACAGTCTAGTAACAGTAGTACTTTCTTGCAGTCAAGTCAGCTGAGGAGATTGTGATTTGTGATTGGTTGACAGGTTTCTGATGCCTTCAGTGTTACCAGCCTCAGAGCAGTTTTCATGTCATGTCATGTTTCATCCTTCAGGTCAGGTTGTTGATGAGTCATCATTTCCTGTGGATCAATAACATTAACACTCATTGATTACCTGCTGATTTATCGTTTTATTAACTTGAGGCAAATGTTGATCAAATGTGATGAAAGATAATCATTGATCAACCAGGGAGTGACTTGTCAGTGATTCGTCAGTAATTTATAAGACATTGGTTATCGATTAATCAGTGACTAACATTTCACTTCATTAATCACATTAGTTGATCAGGCTGAATCATTAGTTCGTTGTTTGACCAGTGACAATTCATTGACTGATTTTGGTTTAACTGGCAATAATTGATCAGTCATTGATTGTTATTTTTGGTCAGGCAGGGCAGTGTTGTGGTGACCTTTGACCTTTGGCTCGATCGACCGATTGATGTATCTGAGGTGACACAGAACCTCAGGGTGGGGCTTGATGACGTAGACAGCAGGGGGTTGGTGATTGACAAGCACAGCATCCACATCACAGGTAACACCTGCACCTCTGAGGTCACTGTGATGTCATCAGAGACTCTGAGGTCACTTTGACCTCATCAGAGACTCTGAGGTCACTGTGATGTCATCAGAGACTCTGTAAACCCTCTGTGCAATTATAATTTACATAAAAGATAAAACTGTGCAGAAAAAGACCATGTGATCACAGCCACGCCCACACCAATGACATCAGAATCCTCAATGACCAGTAAGTATCAACAGAATTGACTTTACTTCCTGTCTATATGTTTTAACACTAATTCATCATCTGTGTTCGAAGCACATTGTGCTTCTGGTCAAAAGCTCTGCTCTGATTGGTCGATGTGTCTCCTGATGGATCGTTTTTGTGACGGTGTAAATGACTGTCCAGATGCTTCTGACGAAGATGTTGCCCTCTGTGGTCAGTAAGGGTTATTGACCAAGTATTTGATCATTGATCTTTGATAAAGACCAAAGACAAACTCATTTTTTTGGTCTCCATAGCAACCACCTGTGACGGACAGTTTTTGCTTGGTGGGGCAGGTGGCGCCCTACGCTCATCTGCTTATTCTGATTCATATAAGTACAACAGTCGCTGTCGTTGGATCATCAGGTCCTACACACACATGCATGTGATAACACACACACGTAGCTGTGACCATAACTGAGCGTTTGTTTCAGGGTGGACTCCGGACTGTCAATCAAACTGACGTTCCATCACTTTGAAACAGAAGAAAACATCGACATAGTCAAGATTTACAAAGGAATTGGTGAAACTAGGACACTCACAGGTAAAACACACACACACACACACACACACACACTCAAGCCCATGTGACACCAGCTGCTAACAGATGATACAAACTGCTGTGAAAACAAATCCCCATTCATTTCAATCATTCACTGACTGTTTACAGACCAGCTCTCAGGCTCCGCCCCCCCTGGTACAGTGTGGGTACTGAACGACCAATCAACTGTGGAGTTTACCTCTGATGATGTCAATAACCTGTCGGGATTCAAAGCTTCATTTAGTGCTGTTAACACAACTGAGATAACTAGTAAAATACACACACACACACACACATTTAATCACACAACTAAACAAACTTTTCTGATTGGCTTGATATTTGATTGTGTTAACCAATGGTCATAATCTCTTCATAAAAGGGGTGTGATCTTATTGTGTGCTGAAGGACACATGTCCATCAGTCTGTTCTACAACAGCCGTGTACGGAGAGTCACATGATCACTGATGGACATGTCCTCTGTCAATGTGATGATGTCATCGACTTAACTTCAACTTTGTTGTCAGACTCGTCACCGAGAAAAAAAATCAGAAATCATACAGCCCCCCCACACACATTATAAACAAACTAATGGATGCACACGAAATAAACAAATACCAGAGACAAATGTACAAGTGTGTGTGTGTGTGTCAGATACAGACAAACTCTCCTGTACGTTCGAGGGAGGCTTCTGTTTCTGGCGTCAGTGTCATGACGATGACGGCGACTGGATTCGAAGTCGTGGCGAGACGTTTCCTCCTCTGACTGGCCCCAGTGTGGACCACACGCTGGGCAACAGCTCAGGTCTGGACCACTGTGATGTCATCGCTTTCATTCCAAAAACAGGAAATGGTGTGAAGTAGTGCCCCCTATATGACAGTACCATATTTTCTGACTTGATTGATAGGTTTTTACTTGACCACGCCCCTCAGCCCTGGCCAATGGAATAAGAGCTTCAGGCTCTACAGCCTGCCCTTGACTCCCGTCAATGTGTCCTGCTGTCTAAACTTTTGGTGAAGAACTGACACATGTAGAACATGGACACATAATTACCCCAAACATGTAACAACGTGAGCTGTTATCTATCAGGTACCACATGTTTGGTGAGGACGTGTACAGGCTCCGCCTCCTGATGAAATCAACAACATCGTCAATGATCCTGTTTGAGAAAGAAGGAAACTATGGCAACATCTGGAATTTTGCCCAAGTGACCTTTAACCTGACCACCACTGCAATGGTAGGTGACATCACTTTGATGATGATGATGAAGATGATGATGATGATGATGATGATGATGATGATGTTGATGATGATGATGATGATGATGATGATGATGAACTCCAGGTTCCACTGTATAA